GGCTATTTTCAAGGTCAAGGACACCTTCAGGATTTTTTTTACTATTATTTTCATACTCAGCATATCAAAAAACATAGGTATATCAAGTAAAACGCTAAAATAAAACAAAAAAAAAATTTTATATTGGCTTTTCCGTTAGGGACGGGGATGGTCAAAATATCGACCACCTACCAGGTTGGGAACTTGTACCGACTAATCCGATAAAATTATACATACATTTCGGGTAAATTAAAAGGTCGATTTGAACCAAAATTTTCCCGTCCTCTAAAGGTTAAGGGCCTAAAGGAAGCCGCAGTAAACCTGGATGAAGCTGTCAGGGTCCTTGCCGGTCGCACAAATACTGAGATAGAGATCCGGCGACTGGAGGGACTCAATACGCGATTACACGAAGAGGTTTCTGAGGTGCGTGCGACGATGTCTTCCTTGCGCGCTGATCGGGACTCTGTCCAGCGAAGGTTGGACAGCGTACTGCGGGAGAACGCCACCCTGAAAGGTGACGTCGAGGCTCTGCACGAGGAGCTATGCGACATGAGGCGGGAGCTCATGTCGTTAAAGATGGCGCGCCTTAAAGCTCCCAGCGATGCGGCAGGGCCGTCATCACCCCCTCCACGTGCGGATTCCCCTCCGCTTCCGCAGAGGGAACCGCGGCAGAGGCGACGCAAGCCCTCTCCGGCACCTCCCCGGAACCCCAACCTGAAGTCTGACCGGGGAATGGAGATCTCTCCCCCCCGTGAGAGGGAAAGGGAGGGGAACAGCGCGGCAAGCCCCCCGTCAAGTCCACGCACTCGGCGAGGGAACGGGGAAGGTCCTGTAGTGCAGCCCTTGGGATTAAAGGACTTTGAGTCTCTCCTAAAGGCTCACCGCAGGGAGACGGACAGGCAACTGACCGAACGCCTGGCCATATTTTATGACCAAGTGGTAAATCGCCTGTCCGTCCGCCCTCGGCTTGGGGGAGATCCCCCCAAAAAGAAGGCTGAGGAAGGTGCCTCGGCAGAGGCAGGAAGCAGCGGCCCAGCTGCGCTGAGCGCAGCGCAAGCGCCGGCCTCCGTACCCTTTGCTAAAGCAGGAGACAGCGCCTCCAGCAAGAAGGCCAAAAAGAAGGGAAAGAAGGCGAGGGGCGGGAGGAAGGACGGCGGCGGCGGACAACGGCCCGGGGCCGGGGTGGTGGCCAAGGCCACCCCACAGACAGAAAGGGCCGTCACCCCAAACTCCTGCCTTAACACCGCCTAGCGGCAAAGGTGGGAGCAAGGGGCCGGCCAGGGCAAAGGCGGGGACGGCAACATCCGCTTCTCCTAAGCCCAAGTTGGGTCGCCCACCCCGCTACTCGGCGGTGGTATTCTCGGCCCCTGAGGGGGCCAGAAGCAGCTTCGTCGGGGAGGTCCTGGCATACGCCAGGTCAAAGGTGGCCTTGGAGCCACTGGGTATCCGGGGCCTCCGCGCTAGGAGGACTCTCACCGGGGCTCTCATTCTGGAGATCCCCGGTGAAGGTAGTGACACTAAGGCGGAGGCGCTGTACAACGCCATGCTTCCCTTGGTGTCGGAGAAGAGGGAACGGCTCGCGAGACCGGTTAAGACCACCGAACTGCGTGTTCGTGGTCTCGACGAGTCGGTCTCCCCAGACGAGGTCCAGAAGGCGGTGGCATCTGTCGGGGGCTGCGCGTCGGCCGCGGTCAAAGTCGGTCGACTGCGTGCCTCCCCTGGTGGCATGTACACCGCATGGGTTCAGTGCCCCTTGGCTGCGGCTCAAAAAGTCGTGGCGGCGGGGGCACTGAGGGTAGGGTGGATTAGGGCACCTGTGGAGGCCCTAGAGCAGCGGCCTTTACAGTGCCATAAGTGCCTTCGGCGCGGACACGTACTGTCAGCGTGCCCGTATACAGCGCCGGAGGAGGATAGGCGCGGCCGCTGCTTCAACTGCGGCGACCACGGACACAGGGTGTCGACATGCACGTCGGCACCCAAGTGTCCTTTGTGCGCGGACCTTGGGCGCCCCGCAAACCACCGCCTGGGGGGCAGAGCGTGTGCCCCAGCCCGCAGTAAAAGCAAAGGGAAGCGGGCACCCAGGGCCACAAACCTCCCGAGTGGCACACGGGTCACTCTGGAGGGAGGGACCCCCCCCCGCTGGCACTCCAGCGACTCAGGGGGAAACTACGCCTGCTGTCGAGCCAAGTCCAGCAGCAGGCAGCAGAGAGGGGATTGCACCCCCCTTCCCTCCTGCGAGTAGGGCCCTGGAGGAGGATAGCATGGACACCACGTAATGTCTCTGCTCCTCCAGGGTAACCTTAATCACGCCCGCGAGGCTCAGGATCTGATGATTCAAAGCCTCGCGGAGCTAGGGGGAACTCTTGCTGTGGTGGCCGAGCCTTACTCCATCCCTAACCATCCTTCGTGGCTGGGATCGGAGGACGGCTCGGTCGCCTTTTATTTCAGGTGGGGGCCCCGACCAGAGGCCACCATCTTCTCCCCTTTCGAGAGGGGAGAGGGTTATGCGGTAGTAGAGTGGAGGGAGCTGGCAGTCGTGGGATGCTACTTTTCACTCACGAGGCCCTTCCATGAGTTCGAGGTGTTTCTGGACGGGCTGGAGCGGATTATCCGCCGGTACCAGACCCGCCCGCTGCTGGTCCTGGGGGACTTCAATGCCTGGTCTGAGACCTGGGGCTCCTCCAGGACTGGGCCGCGAGGAAGGGCTCTCGAGGGTTGCGCGGCGGCTTGCGGCCTTGTAGTTGTCAACGAGGGCACGCAACACACGTGCGTGAGGCGTGACGGGGGCTCTATAGTCGACCTGACTTTTGCCTCCCTGTCCGCCGTTGCACGTGTGTCCGGGTGGCGAGTCAGGGATGACATGGAGACTCTCTCCGATCATCGTTACATAACGATGAGAGTCTCTGTGCTCCCTGATGTTCCTCGGGGTCGCCGCGAGGTGAGAAGCGCTCCTCTCTCCCAAGGGTGGGTCCTACGACAACTGGACCCGAGTATCCTGTCCGCCGCTGTTCAGGTCGCGGCTTGGCCACGGTCGTCGGCCAAGCCGCGTGACCTCCGGGCGGAGCTAAGGTGGTTCCGCGAGACTGTCACAATGATTTGTGACGCGGCTATGCCGCGGTCTCGCGGACCACCGAACCGGAGGTCGGTGTATTGGTGGTCGGAGGAAATTGCCGCCCTTAGGGCCGCATCTGTCCGCACTCGCCACCGATACACCCATGCCCGTCGCCGTCCTCCGGGCGACGACGAGGCAACCCGAGCAGCGGGGGCGGCTTATGAGGACTATCGCGTAGCACGCAAGGCCCTCAGAACCGCCATTAGGAAGGCGAAGTCCAACGCGTGGGATGAACTCCTCCAGACGATTGGCGGGGATCCATGGGGCCGTCCTTACCGCTTGGTAATGGACAAGTTACGCCCCTGGACCTCGCCGGTCACAGAGTGTCTGGACCCCCAGCTCTTGAAGAGGGTCGTGTCAACCCTCTTCCCTGAGGGGAGGGGTGCTTGGCCCTCCCAGGAGCCGGAGTTGGATCACCCAGCTGGGTGGTCCGACAACCTGGGGGTCACAGAGGAGGAGTTCCGCTGGGCCGTCCGTCGGATGACGCGCAAGAACACCGCGCCAGGTCCCGACGGCGTGCCCGGTAAAGTATTGGGCGTCGCCTTCGGACAGGATAGTCCCTTGGGAGAGCGCCTCAGGCACATCTTCACCCAGTGTCTGAGGACGGGCTGATTCCCCCCGGAATGGAAGAGGGCCAACCTGGTCTTGCTCCGGAAAGGTGGGAGGCTCGCGGACTCGCCGTCCGCGTACCGGCCGATATGTCTGCTCGACGAGGCGGGGAAGCTCCTTGAGCGCATTGTTGCTCAACGCCTTGTCGGGCACCTGTCGCGAGAGGGTCCTGACCTGGCCGATTGCCAGTACGGTTTCCGTGGGGGACGGTCCACGGTGGACGCCGTGCTCCACCTAAAGTCCCTCACGGAGGCATCGGTCAGGCAGGGGAAGGGAGTGATAGCTGTGTCGTTGGATATTTCCAATGCTTTCAACTCCCTCCCCTGGGACAGTATAGGGCGGGCCTTAGAACGTCACCGGGTCCCGCTCTATCTGAGTAGGCTCCTCGGAGACTACTTTCGCGGCAGGAGCATACGGTATAAAGGCCGGTACGGATCACTGCTTCAGAGGGAGATGTACCGCGGGGTCCCACAAGGGTCAGTGCTTGGCCCGTTGTTGTGGAACCTCGGGTACGACGCGGTAATCTGGGCTGCACTCCTCAGAGGCCTATCAGTCATCTGCTATGCAGATGACACCTTGATAGTCGCCTCTGGGGAGGACTGGAGTGAGACCAGGTGTTTGGCCGAGACAGGTACGACCTGCGTTGTCGATCGCATCGAAAGGCTGGGGCTCAAGGTTGCCGTCCACAAGACAAGGTGCATTCCGATATTTACTGCCAGTACTGGCAGCGTCACAAGCACCGTTCCAAAATACATAGCAGTAAGCTGTCGAAGCACGTTTGCGAGCATATGACGTCACGGATTTTGTCGTCACTTCCTGCTTTCATCACTGCGGTTGGAGAGGTAAGGCAGTCGCAGTAGAAAGATGGCGGCGTCCATTCTTACGTGTTCACTAATTGATTTTTGGTTATGTTTGTACACTTCAAAAGATACTATAAAATCGTTCCGTTATACGATGGAAGAAACAGTACAAGTAATTGCGGAACATAGAAACAGCATTGTTTTATGACGTCACATTGTCAGTACTGGCAGTGAATATCGGAATGCACCCACAGAAGCAATGTGGTTCTGGGACCGTCACTGTGGACGGCCCCGCGACCTCAGTCGCTCCGTAGGAGAGGCACGGATTGAGGTAGGTAGGTCCATTAAGTATCTTGGACTCTACCTCGATCCGAGGTGGCGCTTCGACGTGCACTTTGCACGTTTGGCCCCTAGGGTTCAAAAAGTAGCGAATGCACTCTCGCGTATTCAGCCGAACCTCGGGGGCCCGAGGTATAAGGTCCGTCGTTTATACGCTAACGTCGTCCACTCGGTGGCCCTCTACGGGGCACCGCTGTGGGCGGGAGCCGCTGCGAGAGCGGGGGCGCGGAGCCCGTTTAGTCAGCTCCGCGCCTCACAGAGGGTAGCAGCCCTCCGTGTGATCAGCGGCTTCCGGACGGTGGCGTATGAAACGGCGGGCGTACTGGCGGGAATGCCTCCCCTAGCCCTCCTGGCTGACGTGTACTCGGCGAGGTATTCTCGCCGAGTCGAGCTTCAGCAAGAGAGTCTCGCAGGGGACGATCTGCGAGAGGCCCTCGCCGGGTCGGAGCGCCAGGCCCGACGACAACTGCTCCTGAAGTGGGAGCAGCTCTTGGCTGACCCTGGAGCGGACAGCCAGGAGGTCGTCCGGGTCGTCCGGCCCCACTTGGAGACGTGGCTGGACAACGAGGTCGGACGCCTCTCCTACCGCGTGACGCAAATGCTCACCGGGCACGGGTGCTTCGGTGAGTACCTGTGTCGCATAGGAAGTGAATCGACAACGCAGTGTCACGAGTGTGGGGCGGCCAGTGACTCGGCGGATCACACCGTGGAAGAGTGTCCACGGTGGGCTCCGGAGCGCCGAGAGCTGGTCGCCAAAATAGAAGACGACCTCTCCCTGGAGGGCCTGTTACGGGCGTTGGCCTCCAGGGAGAGAGACGAGTGGGAAGCGGTTGTCTCCTTCTGCTCCGCGGTGATGGAGCAGAAGGAGGCAGCCGAACGAGAGAGGGAGAGGCTACCTCTCCCTCTGGGGAGACCCCGAAGACGTGCGCGAGCGGGTGGCGGGGCCCCCGCTTCCCGCGTACGTCCTAGGGGTCGTGGCATGCCCCCCACTTGACAATGAGTCTTCCCTTTCTCTCTATGAGGAAAATAGGGGAGACTCAATTGTACATTGCGGGACGGTGGGCGTTGAAAGGAGCCGGGCTTCTCGTTAGCCCACCGATCCCGGGGCAGCGTCTAAGACGCGTGAACGAGCGGGCGGCGGCTGATATTCCCGTGGTGGTACCGTCCACCACGGTTATGTGGTTTTTTATTTGTTTATTTAGCAGCCGCCGCCGGGCCGTGACGAGTTGAGGTGGGGGCCTTGGCTCGTCCTGCACACGGCCCAAGAGACGGGGTGTCATCACGGTGTGTGTCTCGTGGTGACATCAAGTTAAAGGTTGGAGCGATCAACGCTTGAGGAGGAGACATGAAAGAGAACCTGTTCTCAATCATTCTCCTTCTCACAGAAGTTAACAGCTCCAGGAGGGGACCCGCGCGCATCCTTACAATGGAATCCCGGGTCCCCTCCTACTAAGAGCGAAGAAGACACACCGTGGGAGTTTTAGCGGGTACACCTCCTCCATTTGCGGGTGGAGAAAGGGATTCCCGCATAACCCTGGCCCTCCCCCAGGGTCAGGGTATGCGTAATGCATTTTTCCCCGTTAAAAAAAAAAAAAAAAAAAAAAAAAAAGTTGCGAGGGAACAGCCCTCGGGTCGGGGGGGAGGGTCGGGGGGACAGCCCCGGCCTTCCAAGGGCAGAGCTGACTGCCACCGAGCGCGTCCCCAAATTGCGGATAGGGGAACGGCCTCAAGTACTGAGGTTAACTGCGAATAACCCTTTCGGGGAAAATAAGCAGTCGTGGACAAACAGCGGTGGATACTGAGAGTGGGGTGGTCGCTCCTGTGGAAAGGGAGCGGCTTATAAAGTGCTCCATTAAACTTGATGAAGTATCCACGTCAAAGGCGAGTGAGTGCCGCCTTAAAAGCGCTCCAACCCTCGGGCAGATCGGGCTCGTTAGGTTTTGTTTACCAACCGATCTAGGTGAAGGAAAACACCGATGTAAAACCAAATGAGTAGAAACCTAATATGATGGACAGCAAGACGAAGAAGGACTTATCGCCCCAGAGTGATCGGACACTCAGGGGCCGGCACGGTGGGAGTACTGTTCCTGCTCCCGCCGCGTCGTCATCTAGCAAAGGGCAGAAAGAGGGGTTGACGGCGGGCCTCTCTGGACATTCTGCTACCGCCGCTACAGAGAAGCCACGCGATAAGAGGAAGGCCGACAAAAGTCTTGAGTCGGCTCTTCAAGAGGGTACGAGGGCGGCCGATTGCTCTATCGCTACGATGGGCATCGGCGCCCTCTTTGATCATGTGGCTGATTCCCTGGATGAACTTTGGGAGCGACTTTGTCGTCGCTCCAAAATGTCCAGAGAGGAGAAAGCTGGCAGGCCGAGGGAGCTTCGGGAAAAGATCATATCAAGTCTCCTGGAGCTCCAAACCCGATTCACCCCTCTCCGTGAGTCTGTTGACAACATCGAGAGGGGTGGCGCCAACATGGCCGATGTAGTAGAAAAAGTTGCTCGGGGGCAGGTGGCCTCTGAGCGACAAATTACGGAAGCCATCCTCCAGGTCAGTGAGGATGTTGATGAGGTTAGTATCTCTACCCTTGCTGACCTGAAGGAAATTAAGAAGGGTGTTGTGGAGGCGCGTGCGGCGATCAAGGAAATTCATAATGAAGCCTCCCGGTCGCTTCACGCGCTTCACGAAAGCATGGAGACGTCGGTGCGTGCTTTTGTCGACGTTTCCATGCCGAGGCCGGAAGGAGCTACGTGCTCCACTCCAGTCAGAGGGGGAAATCGGATTCTCCCCTCTTGGCTGAAAGAAATCGAGAAGGTGGTGCGATCCACTGTCTCTGGGGAGCTTCAAAAACTTTTGGAGCGGTGTCTCCCGAGGCAGCCCCCCCCTGTTAGTGGGTCTCCGATTCCCCCGCCTGTTTCGATTAGGGCACAGGCGGAGGAAAAGGTGAAGAGAAAGAAGAAGAGGAAAAAGAAGAAGAAGGCGATTAACGCCACCAAGGCGCCTGCGATGGGCGGGGGGACGGCCGCTGGGGCCGTTTGAGGGGAGTCTTCCCCTCCGTTGCCCTCGCCCTCGTCAAAACAGAGGCCGCTTCGCGGGGTTCTCCCGCGTACCGAGGTGGTCACCTTGCGTCTCGAGGGTGAGGGCATGTCGTATGCCCAAGTCCTTCGGGACGCGAGGGGCAAGGTGGACTCTAGGTTGGCGGGCGTCTCCAGGGTCCGACGGACCTTGGAGGGGTATCTCTTACTGGAAGTGGAAGGGAAGGACTGCAAATCCAAGGCGGACCTCCTCGCCTCCAGGCTGAGAGAGGTTCTCCCCGAAGGAGTTAGAGTGGCTCGTCCATCCCGGAACGTGGAGATTCTAGTTTCGGGATTGGACGAGTTCACCACAGAGGACGATCTCCGCCAGGAGTTTGAGGCAGAGTTCGGTGGCGGGAGCGGCGTTAGGGTTGTATCCCTGCGTTGCTCCCAGCCATCGGGTGGAGTTGCCTTGGTTCGCTGCTCATCTGAGGCGGCGGCCAAGGCGATTAAAGTAGGCAAATTGCCGGTTGGCTGGGTGGTGGCGAGGGTGCGTGCACTCCGCCCCCGCCCCCTGCAGTGCTACAGGTGTTTTCAGCCTGGGCACTGCAGGGCTTTGTGCTCCAGTCAAGTCGACCGCAGTGATTTCTGTTATCGCTGTGGCCGGCCGGGGCACGGAGCGGCCAACTGTACAGAGGATGAGAGGTGTCCTCTCTGTGAGGAGTTGGGTCGGGAGTCTTCCCACCGAATGGGTGGGGCCCGGTGCTCAGCCATCGGCCGGGGGACTCCCGTGCCCATTATTAATCCTTTTTGACGAGGGTAGGAAGGACGCGGATCTCCCCGGCTCCGATATAGGATCCGGGGAGCCGCTCCTCCGTATGTCTGGTGCGCAAGCACCAGATATAGTAGGTGGTGTTTGGTTCTCCTTTAAGAGACCAGGCAATATTAAAAGAAAGCCCGGTCCCCGTTGTTTTGAGCACTAGTTGGCCTCAACTCAGCGGTGGTTGGGCGCATTGTGGGGGGAGGACCTCCCTCTTGTCTCGCGTTTTGAGACAATTGGGAGGTCAATACTACTATTATGGGGTCAAGTCCGTTTCGGCGTTTGACTTGAGGCCGAGAGGGGTTTCCCCCTCATTGCACTTGGCCCACAGACGGCGGGGGAGGGTCTGTGTCCCCCCTTCCCCCGATTGTGGAGGAGCAAAGCTCTTCCATTTAAGGATTGGGGGGCAAAAGTCCCCATGCCTATTAGGCTGCCTCTGGGTTGTTCTAAACTGAGGTACCGGGGCAGCCCTAAAAAGGCGGAAGGTGGACACCGCAGGGGTTTTAGTGGGTATTCCCCACCGGGGTGCGCTTTGGTGGGGTGAGTCCCACACTACCCTGGCCGACATCTGTCTGGGTCAGGGTGTGCGTAAACGCATTTCCCCTGCGTAAATAAAAAAAAAAAAAAAAAAAAAAAAAAAAAAAAAAAAAAAAGGTTAGATTTTAGGGGGGTGCAGGGGGGCACAGCCCCTCTTGCCTACACGTTTACAACACCAACATAAAAAACATGAAAGAATTAGGATGTTATCCCATGCACTGTTATTTTTTGCGTAACGCGTAACGCGTAATCAGAGATTACATGTTTAATATAAAACATTTGCTTTGGATATTGACTAGTCAATTCTAAAATTGATAGGACTACGGACTGTGACGCTACATATACATTTATATATACATATTATATATATATGTATATTTATGTATGTGTAAATATATATATATATTTTTGGTAATTATGCAGTTATACGGACTATTTTCCGATCTCAACAATTTTGACATATGTTATCAAGGTCACCTCCCTGAATAATAATATGAAGGTTTTATCCGTCGCTCATTGTTTATAAAAAACTTATGAAC